AAGGTAAAAGAAAATATAATAATAATTTAGGGTAAAAGAAAATATAATAACAATATAGGGTAAAAACTAATATAGTAATAATTTAAGGTAGATAATAATAGTTTATGGTAAAAAGGAATATAATAATAATTTAGGGTTAAATGTAATATAATAATAATTTAGGGTAAATAACAATATAATAATAATTCACAATCCACACAATATAATAATAATTTAGGGTAAATAACAATATAATAATAATAAAATGTGGCGCAATCGTAGGATGTCATCTGTTGAAAATAATGACAGCTCTCCTTATTGGGACTGCCACGTGTGATTCCCTATAATTTAATATTATTTTTTTGGGATTTAACTTCTAAATTCATAATAAATAAATTAAAAATCTAAAAAATACACCAAAAAGTCATATGGACTCCTTTTGGCACTCTCTATGCCCTCGAACTCTGAAAATATAACTTCCACTTATAAAAATATAAACTGATAACAAAAACTCAACTTTGTTTCTAAACAATTCAAAACACTAGTTAATGTTTCATAACATAACACTCGAGTTATTTGATCAAACGATTATTGTAAGCTCCAATATGTTAAATCATGATTTTGGACCTCCATAATCAAGGATGATGTCGTGAGGAGTTTGTAGCAATTTTTGATGTATTTTTTTAATTTTTAATTTATTTATTATGCATTTTAAAATTTAAATACTAGAAAAATAATATTAAAGGGTATAGACCAATTGTGGGTCGCCACTTGTTGAGGGAAACACTAACGGCACCACCTTCAGTTGCTGCCACATGTCGCTCAATATAATTTAATATTATTTATCTTAAATTTAACTTCTAAAATTCATAAAAAATTAATTAAAAATCCAAAAAATACATAGAAAATTCCTAGAAACTCATTGTGACATTCTCTACACCTTCAAGCTCTAAAAGTATAATTTTGAGTTATACAAATGTAAATTAATAATAAAAACTCAACTTTGATTCTAAGCAGTCTAAAACACTAGTTGATGTTTTATAACCTAATATTCGTGTTCTTTGATCCAATGATTACCATGAACTCAAATATGTGGAATCTTTATTTTCAATCAACATAGTCGAATATAATGTCATAAGGAGTTTGTAGTAATTTTCGTTGTATTTTTTATTATTTTTTAATGAAATTTTAAAGATGAACTTGAAAAAAAAAATCAAAACAACATGTGAAGCAATCATGAGACGCCACCTGTTGGATAATGGCGCCATCTTCAACTGCTGCCATGTGTTGCCCTATACTATTTCATATTATTTTTCATGAATTCAACTTCTAAAATTCATAATAAATTAATTAAAAATCCAATATCTTAAAGTATAAATTTTAAATTATAAAAATAAAAATGATATCGAAAACTCAAATTTGTTTCTAAACAATATAAATATTAGTTGATGTTCGATAACTTAACACTCATGTTCTTTGATCCAATAATTACCTTAAACTCAAATATGTGAATCGTGATGTTGGACCTCCATAATTGAGGATGATGTCGTGAGGAGTTTGTATCAATTTTTGGTGTATTTTTCTGATTTTTAATTTTTTAAAATAATTTTTAAAGATAAAATTGAAAAAAGTAATCAAAATGATATGTGGCGCAATCGAAGGACGCCACCTGTTAGAAACACTGACAGCGCCACCTTCAGCGTTGCCACTTGTCAGCCTATACCATTTAATAGTATTTTTCTTGGATTTAATTTCTAAAATTCATGATAAATTAATTTGAAATCTCAAAAATACACCGAAAATTCCTAGGAACTTCTTGTGACATTATCTATGTCATCAAGCTCTAAAAATATAATTTTTATATATAAAAATGTTAAGTGATAACAAAAACTCAACTTTTTTTCTAAGTAATTGAAAATACTAGTTGATGTCCTATAATATAATACTCATGTTCTTTAATCCAACGATTACCTTAAACTCAAGTACGTGAATCATGATTTAGACCTCCATAATCAAGGATGATGTCTTGAGGAGTTTTTAGCAATTTTCGATGTACATTTCTGATTTTTAATTATTTTTTTAAAGAATTTTAAAATATAAAATTGAAAAAGAAATCAAAATTACATGTGGAGCAATCCTTGTACGCCACCTGTTGGAAACATTGACGGCACCACCTTCAGCTACTGCCACATGTTGCCACATACTATTTAATATTATTTTTCCTAGATTTTACTTATAAAATTCGTAATTAATTAATTAAAAATCTAAAAAATACACCAAAAATTCCTAAAAACTCATTGTGACATTCTCTACACCGTCAAATTATAAAAGTAAAATTTTCACTTATAAAAATGTAAAGTGATAATGTAAACTCAAATTTGTTTTTAAACAATATAAACCACTAGTTGATGTTTTGTAACTTAACACTCATTGGTCTTTGATCCAACGATTACCTTGAACTCAAATATGTGGAATCATAATTTTGGATCTCCATAATCGAGGATGATGTCGTGAGGAGTTTGTAGCAATTTTTGGTATATTTGTATGATTGTAATTTTTTTTAATTTTTTTTAAAAGATAAACTTGAAAAGTAATCAAAATGATATGTGGTGCAATCATGTTACACCACTTTTTGGAAACACTGACGGTGCCACCTTTAGCTAATGCCACATGTTGCATATAATATTTAATATTATTTTTCTTGATTTTACTTCTAAAATTCATAATAAATAAATTAAAAATCCAAAAAATACACCGAAAATTCTTAGGAACTCCTTGTGACGTTATAAAACTTGGGGAAGCTATAAATCATCCATTTCATAATGAAAAATCCAAATGCATTTTGATAACTCACTTTCCTCTTAACCCTAGTTATATATCTTTGTTAACTTCAACTTCAATAACCTACATCAACAAGCATCTCCCATGAATGTTCGGAATTTTTTGATAACTCACTTTCCTTTCAACCGTAAAAATATATTTTGCAATAACCAACATTACAAGTATATTTCCTTAATGTTCATTATCTAATTTTTAATAATACAAGTATTAGTTCCCTTTCATATATAAGGCTGTAAAAGTATGTGTTTTGTTATAATAATCTACATATATAATAATTGAACAATGGTTTAAAGTCATCATGGGTGCGTGCATCTAAATCTTTGAACACGTCAAAGGTGTTCAATAAGTTGTCAATATGACACCGCATGGGGAATCAGTAAAGTATCTTTATCAGCCCAATCACATAAAATGATGGCGTACTTTTTTTGGAAAACCTCACACATCAGTCAGAAGCATTGTCCAATCACATAATATTTCTCCTTGTCTATATGAGTGATTATATCTTCACTCTAATTTTTTTTTTCCTCAGTATATGTTTACTTTGAGGGATTCCACAAACATATAATATAAAGAAACATAGCAAAGGTAGCAGAAGAACAAATACAAACAACAACATATAACTAGTACGAAATAATCTCATAGCCTTATCACAAAATTTCACGTATCCTTTAGATAGCAATGTTTACAAAATCGTGGACTATTGGAGTTTTTGTATTGCTAATGTATAGCCTCCTATTGCCCTAGTATTGACACTATATAGCCTCCAATAGCCTTCATTTTGCCGCTGCATTGCCCCTAATTGCCTTTATATTGCCACTGTATTGCCCCCAATTACCTTGTATTGTCCCCGTATTATCATAAAAGGCAATATATGGCTATACAAAGACAATGAACAATCAATACACAATTAATAAGCTTGCAATAACAAGCAATAGACGAACAATATACACACAATATACACCGAATGTATATAATGTCTTTTCTCAAAAAGGATGTGACAGCCTTTCATGTGCATTGTCAAAATTAAGAGTTGATAGGTCCAACTGTCATAAAAAAAATCCAAATTGATGAAGGTTCTCAACGACAACAATCTTCCATAAGCCAAAAATCTAGGTCCAACTGCCACAAAAAAGAATTGTCAAATATCTCAAGAGGGAGATTATTTAAAAGAAAGAAAAATCCTAAAACACCTAACATCAGAAAAATACAAAGGCAAAAGAAAGCAAGAAAGAAAGGCTCCAAAAAATTAACACCACCAATCGAGAAACAAAAAAACTTCAAAGAAAACCAAAACCAATCAAGAAAAAAAACACAAAAGCTGATACAAAACGAAACAACACAAAATAATAAGATTTCTTCATATTGAATCATATTTCAAAATGCTCACCAATATTGATGGCAAATGAGTATAGTAAAAACATAAATCACTTGGTAGGTCCATGCATGCTATCAAATTCATCGAATAACGGGTCACTAAGATTGATCGGAATTGATTCTTCATTGTTTGATGGGGATGTCCTACATAAACACCAAGCATAATATTACAATAAAATAAACCACTTAGAATTTTAGCTATTATTTATAAATATTTGTACAATCTTACGGTGTGTTCGCCATTCTTGGATATCATCTTATATCATGACTAGTTTGTACACACTGCTGACAATGTCGGATCCCTCACTCCTTTCTCGTTTCCTTTGCTCCCTTTACTCATTTCGAGCTTCCTTTGTGCGTTACTCTCTTAGGGTCCTTCAAATATCGTGTTTGGGAGCTGGACCCTCCAATTTCCCTAGGACCAACCCCATCATTCAATAACCTCAACGTCACCTGCGTATCATTTAGATTATTCAACAATAGCTCACAACCTTCTTCGGACATTAAGGCATGCTCAATTACATCTGAAGCAAGTCTGGACATTCTACTTCGCTTTATTAGGAGAGAATTGTTCTCACAATCTTTAATTTCATTGCCATTTGAATCTGACACAAGTCCAAATTTTTCAGTTTTCTTCCATCTATTCAAAATGTATTTATTGGGCAATTTGCTCCCTTTTTAACAATGCCAGCGCATGGCAACAAAGAATTCCAATAATTCAAATCCTTTACAGCTACACGACCATTGATCGGAATATTTATCATATACAACTTATGTCACTCTTGTTTTCCCCTTTTTCCTTTCACTCACTTATAGATAGTTTTGGAGGCGTCATCCATTTTCAGTTCCATAAAACACGGTAAACTTTGCATTAGCTCCTGTTCAAACTTTTGGAACATTGCCTTTATGTATATTTCAGCCATTTGTTTATCCATTGTTATGAATAGAGCACATTGAGACTTTTCAAATGCATCAATGTGATCAGCAAGTAACTCTTTTTGACGTTGATGGGAAAGTGCCCTTTGAAATCTTGTTATGAAATCCATTAATGAATTTCTCTTTGATATATATTGCTTGAAAAATGCATGAGAGCTTTCTGCTCTTTGACTGCTTGACATTCCAGCAGAAAAAAGATGTTTTACATAGGCTGGAACCCATGATTTTCGCAAATCAAAAACTAAACTCATCCATGGATGGTAAGTCAAACTAGATTTTGTAACAATTGCATGCCACTTTTCTTCAAATTCATCTATATTGTCAATCTCCCATATGGTTTCCTTAAACTCTTTCCAATATTCCTTATAAGCAGTCTGTCGTAGTTTATCAGAGAACTTGGTTGTGATGTGCCATATGCAAAGTCGATGAAATGTAGTGGGGAATACTTCAAAAATCGCTCTAGCCATAGCTGCATCTTGATCTGTAATGATCATTTTTGGCTCACCACTTGGCATGGCTTTCTTAAACTCCTCAAACATCCAAATAAATGACTCAGTCGTTTCCTTACTTAAAAATGCACAAGCTAAAACAATTGTCTGACCATGATTATTAACCCCCAACATTGGTGCAAATGGCAAGCCATATCGGTTCGTGTTGAATGTGGTATCGAGCACGACAACATCTCCATAAAATCTGTATGCTCGTCTAGAAGTTGCATCTGCCCAAAAACATCGAGTAAGCCTGTCATTGGAATCTCCCTCAATCTTGAAATAAAATGATATATTGTTTTTCTGTTCAGCTAAAAAATACTCATTCACCAGTTCAACATCATGGTTCTTCATCAGGCTACTCTCATAATATTCAAAATTGTAAATATCCTTTTTGGTAAAACCAATTGTCTCCATTCCTCCATATTGCACCTCCAAAATACTCATCTTTTTATGAGTAGGTATATCAGCTGAACCAAGTTGTTTTGTGAGTAGCTTTGCAGGTTCTGAAATATGACGGTGTGATCTCATAAAATGAATTCTTTCTAAGGGTGTCATCTTATGATTGTGTCCCTTTACAACGAGAGAGAAAGCATACTGCTTGTACCCAGAAACCTTCACAACAACAATCCTAGCCTTGCAACTAGAGCTGTTCACGATTCGATAAGCGTGTCTTGGAGGAGTTGCCGACCACCGAACCGGAGGTCATTGGCGCACCTATTTTGGAGACCACCGCCGAGCCGAGGAGATGCAAGACCGACTACAATCGGCACGCCAAGAAGTCGGTGCGGTTTGGTTTGGTTCGGCAAGCATCAATGGCAGAGGATTGAACTGAGATTGAGGACCACTTCCTGGTTGAGGGTATGGGGAGGAAGAAGAAGAAAAGAAGAATAAGATGGAGAGAAGAGGGAAAGAAGAAGAAGAAAATGCAGTTTAATCTAAATAAAAAAAAAAAAAAAAAAAAAAAAAAAAAAGAAGAAAAGAGGCGGGAGGAAGAGGAAAGAAAAAAAGATGGAGAGAGACAGAAGAAAAGAAGGGATGTCGGCTGGGGTGGGAGAAAAGAAAAAGAAAAGGAGAGTGTGTGGGGCAGGGAAAACCCTAACTTAAAAAAAAATGTTTAGATTGTAATAAATAATACAATTATACACACATTACACAAGAAGGCACATCAGTCCAGTGGTATTTGGGCTTTATATATGAACTATGAGCAAAGTTCGATTCCCTATCATGGCATTTGTCTAAATTTTTAGGCAATTTAATGAAATCGGTCCGGTTCGGGTTTTGCCGGTTTAAAAAAATTTCAAACCGGTTCAAAACTGGTTCACACTTGGGTCGGCAGGTTTCCCTACCGATTTCAATAATTAGAAAAAAAAACCGGACCAACCCGCCAAAACCGATTCGGTTCGGTCGGGTTTTCGGCAATAATGTGCACCCCTACTTGCAACCACATCTACTTATCCCTCGGTGTCTTTTTACTAGCCTAGGCTCTTCTTTTTTAAACACACCTTGTTTACAACATACAAATTCTTTTCTTAGAATTTCTTTACTGTATTTTTCCCTCCCGCTGGAATGACGTCGAATACTAAAGCCAGCCAATAAAGCATATCTATTGTAGAAATCATAAACGAAATCAAGTGAATCGAACTTCATCCCAACTTTTGGTCTTTCCTCATTTATGACTTCAGGTATGTAAATCATTTCATCAGCGATTACTCACATAGATTATTGATACCTTAGATAACATTTGAATCAAACATTTCAAAAATAGCTAAAACAAAACAAAATAATTATGAAAGCAATTTAAATCTTGTACCATCATCAGTTGAAAACAAAGACATTTATAATGATTTTTTAAAAAAAAACTTACCAGCAACAAATCCAAGAATTTGAATGCAACACCCCTATGTTATGGAGCAAAATTGATCCTTCTGTTTTTTGCTTTCCATTTAATGTCTCCTCCATGTTGATTCAATTAAACTTTTCCATAAGAGCACATATGGAAAATTAAGATGCAAACTTGTGTCAACCTGTAGCATATTATCAATTATTAAAAAGTCATAAAATAAATTGAGGCAGGACAAACCCAAGATATTTTTAGAGAACTTGTTTTTACTGTATGTATGCAAGACCCATAAAGATCACCATTAGATTAACGTGTTTTTATTTTCATTATTTATTAATTATTGATTCAACAAAGCTTAAAGCCAATATACTACAGGCATCATAATAAAACCCAAAGCAGTAAGGGGTTAAACGCAAGAAAGAATATTTATGTATGAAAATAAAATCTGTAAAAATTAATTTTTCAAATGAAATATAAATACAAAAGAGAACAAAAAATAAAAATGATTACAATAAATTGGAAACCATTAAAAGCAAAATCAGTGAAACAAAGAAACAAAGAGAAGTGGTTTTGCAGTGTTTGACTTACCATCGCAATTGGAGTTGAAGAAGAGTTCTGCAAGTTCTTCAAAACTTGGGTTTTACTTGTTCAGAAAAGGAGTGCAAAGTTAGGCGAGTGAGAGACTACTAGAGGCTCTTTCAACATATCATGTGTCTTTTTTTCTTTTTTTCTCTCTACTATGAAGATCTTGCAAATAATTTTTGTGACACAAAGACAGAATAAGAGAGCTCTTAGGTTATAGTTGATGAACCATTTTCTGCAACATTAATGACACGAGTTTAACAAAACAGAATATTTTTTTGAATAAAAGGGTTGCAATAGGGTTGAAAAATCACATACCAGTGAAAGAATTGAGTTATGGGTTTCAACCCTTGTTCCTTCTCCTTTAGCAGCGTCCTCCACAGCTGAGTGTCCTCGTTTTTTTTCTTTTCAGAGCAACAAATTCGACTTCTGGAAGTTGGAAAGGGGCAGCTCTTGTTTGTCTCTAGAGGAAGTTTCAGACATAGGACTTTGGACCTCTGTTTCAAAGAAAAGAGGAGATATGATAGAGAAGTTCCGGGTTGCTCATTTTGTGATGGGTAATTTTAACCCGGTTGTAACAAAACTTCCTACTTAAATCTGAACCGTTCATTTGAAACCGACGGTTGTTATCATTCCGAACATAACCTCCTCATAATAACCTCTGCATTCTAGTAGTTCCCTACTCTTTAACCCATGTTTTAATTGCAGACCATATCTCAAGCCCATTCGTAGCATATGGATAGTCCTCTATCAGTAAGCGTACACTGTGTGACGATTTTGGATCTTTAACCGCCATTCCTCTGAACGTAGCAAAGGGTAGATAATTAAAAGCCATCAAGCCTTTCTTCTTTGTTGTTTTTGAGACTAGAGTTTAGAACATAATGACAGCATTCATCAAATCTTTTAGACCATTTAATTGTATTCATTTTTCCCTATAACATTGTGTCTTCACTCTAATATTTGAATTGCATCCATTGCCCAAATTTTTAGATGAAAAACATTATGATCATAAGATTTTACCTTTTGATGAGATCCAAGGGAAGCGCTTGTTCAGGAAAGACCCAGTTCTTGTATATTACAGACGACTAATGGAAAGTCAAGACATATCAGGCGCAGGCATAATACAATTAGACAATTGCTCTTAAATGGAATTATATCCATTGACTACGTGAAGTCAAAGGAAAATATTGCAGATCCCTTAATAATCGGCCTACCAAGAGAGCAAATCAAATTTACATTGAGGGGAATGAGATTAAAGCCAATCCAACGAATCAAACATGGTGGAAACCTAACCTAGTTGATTGAAGATCCCATGGTCTAGGTTCAATAGGCAAACTGGTTGGGTAAGATTCAAAAGTTGAACACACAATTCAACTCATTCCTATTATGGTTAGTGTGTTGTCTGTTGATGTGAAGGTTATGTTTTGCATTTAATGACACTAATATCTTATTAAGAGGAGTTTAGGCAGAAAACTCTAAATTGGTGTCACCTATATGGGAGTAACTGCGGGGTCTCATTTATGACGAAAAAAAAAAAAAAAAAAAAAAAAAAAAAAAGGCTTCTCTAAAGCTCTCATTAAACCAGGTATATGTTTAGGACCAAAATGAACAAAAAGGTATGAATTAATGTTTGTTAAGATGTCATATGTGTGAGACATATTGTCTAGGTTTACTATAGCGGTGAATAGTTCAAGATCAATTATATCCACTGCGTCACCAAGTAAATCTAATATGTTTTCACTAGGGTAAGTTCAAGTCCAAAAGACACTTTTCCTGATATATATATATATATATATAACATCTGCTTCCTCTCAAATGCATTACATTCATTTAGCACTATAAGTATAACATTTCAAATGTGGGGTCTAGAATTTCGATTCAAATGTGGGGTATTGTTGGAAGTTTAAATGAAATTCAAGAACCTTTGTCCCACATCGGTAGAAAGTAGAAAAAGTGAGGTCTTTATAAATGTGGAAGTCCTACATTTAGTAAATGGAAGTGGGACAAGTGGAAGCACATTGAGCTTCAAAAACGATTTGGGTTTTGAATATTATATAAATTATATAATATTTAGTGGTCAAAAAGATGGGCCTTGGGGCACTTTCAGATTTAAATTAATTTTTTATTAATTTGGATTAGTTAAATTAATTGTTTTCTAACAGTTGTGACTCTTCTGATAAGGTTTCAGAATTTTATTTAAATCGAACAATGCCTCATTTGTTAGACACAGAAAAAGCATTCTACAAGCATTTCACATTGTCTGAGAGGAAAACAAACAAAGTTCGCCAGATTCTAAGTCTGAGTGTTAGGGCTTGGAATACAGATAGTTGAATCCTGGGAGACAATCACCTGTAGAACTTCAAGCATCGAGAATGGGTGAAATTACTGTTTTTAGGACATTACATCAAATCTGCAAGCCTCTATCTCGAATCCAAGTCAGTTTTATTAATTGTTATTTACTGTGTTCTGTATTACGGATTGTATCTACTAGTTCATATTGTTAATATATAGTTATTTTTATATAGTCAGTGATTTATTGTTAATATATAGTTATTTTTATATAGTCAGCGATTATTGTATTTCCAACAGTACCGTGTGAAAATCTGGAGTTGGTTGACATCTTACCTACGGTGGAGACCAAGGCCCTCTTACCTCTCTGTGTTCTAATGTCAAGCCCACAATTACTGGCATGATAAAGGCTCTTGGTTGTGCTACATCTCCTTGGCACCTCTTCCTTTATCCAAAAAGTAGAAAATACTAATTAATGTTCTCTGTACATAAATTGTTGTGTTCTACTTTGCTTTTGTGCTACACGTTCTCTCCTTTGTATTAAGATAAATAAACAAATAACATGCAGAACATGCACAAAGGAGAGAAGAATTAATCTGGAGCATTTAACATGGAGATGGTTTTAAAAAACGAAATAGAAAACAAAACTGGGAGAATTAAAAAACACTCCAAACAAATAATACTTAGAGAGCCTACAAGGGATGGACATTTTCGACCAAAACAAAACAAAAAGGAACAAGGGATGGCCTTCTTCAGTAGGCCCAAATTTTAGAATGAATAAGTAAAATATGAGGCCCAAATTTTGTACACAATTCATGTCGAGTGAGGGGACCTTTGGTGCACG